TTGGTACCTGCCCACACTGCCAAAAGCACCAAAAGTTGGTTAAATTACCATGGTGTTGGTGTGCTTGACTGGTCAGCAAACTCACCAGACCTGAATTGTATTGTCAAGAGGAAAATGAGAAACAAGAGACCAAAAAATGTAGATGAGCTGAAGGCCACTGTCAAAGAAACCTGGGCTTCCATACCACCTCAGCAGTGCCACAAACTGATCACCTCCATGCCACGCCGAATTGAGGCAGTAATTAAAGCAAAAGGAGCCCCTACCAAGAATTGAGTACATGTACAGTAAATGAACATACTTTCCAGAAGGCCAACAATTCACTAAAAATGTTTTTTTATTGGTCTTATGAAGTATTCTAATTTGTTGAGATAGTGAATTGGTGGGTTTTTGTTAAATGTGAGCCAAAATCATCACAATTAAAAGAACCAAAGACTTAAACTACTCCAGTCTGTGTGCATTGAATTTATTTCATACACGAGTTTCACAATTTGAGTTGAATTACTGAAATAAATGAACTTTTCCATGACATTCTAATTTATTGAGATGCACCTGTAGTTGGTCTTTGTCTGTTCAGGCGTGGAATGGAGGATGAGAGAATGAGACTGAATGCATTGTTTTACCCCCAATATTTGATTGAAATTTACCTACTGACTCTCCAAATTTTTGCAGATACTTTCTGAGGGTAATGGGGAACGTTTTTGTTTACAGTGTGTTACCTGTTCTTGAATTTGCATCACAGCCTGTCTCCTGAGTTCAAACTAAATATTGTGTTTGTAGCAAGAATTTATGTATTAACCATTATTTTTATTTTTGAGATATATTAATCTTAATCAGAGATGGACTTCCTGAAACATTGTAATGAGAGTGACCAGAATATTGACACTTTACTTTCCAAATTAAAGTACCAATTTTATATCTAATACCATAATTTGGAGATGTCTATTATGGGTCTAGGGTTCAATTAAAAAAGGCACATTTTTAGTCCCCATGACTAAAAGAGGATAAATAACGGAGACTGAACTTAGTCACACAATTTAGGTACACTTAACTCTATTTAGCATGTAATGCAAATTAGTTATATTTTAAAATGTTAATGTTTCATTAATATAGAAGCTATCATCATGTCACTTATCATCAGTTCATTTTGATGGGCTTCATAGACCTAAATATTTACTTTTATTGAAATTAAAATATAATTTCTTGCCTTTTCTGAAATCACGTTTGATTGCTTTGATTGAATACAGTCTGTAGTACAGACTCCCCAACTATTCAACTACTTGAATGATGAAGGAAGATGATGACCTCTTTTATTTTTTCCTTTTTATGTGTTATATATGTATGTAATGTGCGTGCGTGTGTGTGTGTATAAAAATATGTGGTGAATAAGCCATCTTGTATAGCAATAAAATTTATTGAGTTTCATTCTAAACAAGATGTTACATAATTCAAACAGAAGTCATCACGAAGATTTCATTATACAATATTTAAAAAGAGCTCATGAGAGAAAAAAATTATATTTACAAACATTTTGAGAAATATTGTACATACATATTGTATAAACTCTTTTGAAAACAGACACAGCAGGAAATGAGACAGTTCAGTACAGTAACTCTACAGTATATACATCGAGAGAGAGAGACAGACTGTAACTTGTTTGAGTAGTGCTTCTGTTTAAATTAATCCTACAAGTAGTTGTGTTTCCCAAAAAAAATCAAGATTAATTTTACATTATTGATGTCATAAGCACCATGCTGTTTACTGCAGTTGAGCCAGTACTGGTTTACAGTCATCTAAATGGTCCAGCCCTTCGACAGCTTCGATCAGCCTCTCCACCCTCTCGTTGGACAGAACTGCGCCTGCATTGCTACGGAACTTCTTCTGAAGGCTTTCTTGGCTAAGTGGGTTCCTCCAGTGACCGTAGAAAGTGTCACAGCGCCCTCGGAGGACGTCTCCACTTACCAAGGTAACCTCCACCTCACCATACATGATGTTGAAATTGGCCGTGTTGTCGTGGGGGTGCTCCAGACGGACGCGGGAGAGGAGCGCGTGAAGCTCGGGCCGCAGGAGGGCCTCCGGCTGGAAGGACTGCACCGTGACTTCTCCATCCAGCAGGGCGGTGCAGGCGTTGAACTGGAAGGAGTGGCGTGCCTGGTGCTCCGTCTCCGGGAATGGACGGTTGATGTACTTGGACAGTGGCACCCTAAGCAGGATATCCTGCACCAGGTTTGGAGAAATGCTGCCTCCTTTCAGGCCGACCAGGGTCTTGTGCACGACAGCGGTGGCATCGGCGATCCAGTGCATTCCGAGGTGTGCAGGAAAGCGCTTGAAAGCAATGTCTTGCGTTTCGATGAGGAAGCTGTGCTCATCTTCCTCTAGGGAACTGATGGGGTGTGGGGCATAGTCTTCGTAGAAAGCACTGAACCCGGCTACACCGGGTACTGCATCCAAGACTAGAGGACTCGCTTCCAACCCACGAGACGCCAGCAGGGCTGCTTCGAGACCTAGGCGCGAGGCGTTACCGATGTGAAGAGGTTTGGATTGCGTTGCAGCATTAGCCATTGGGGCACCTGCCAAAGATGCAGCGATGGCCAACGCATTACTGCACTGACTGCGATCCAGAGACAGGAGGCGAGCACAAGCAGCTGCACTGCCCAAAGTGCCCACCACACTGGGAGGATGGAACCTGACGGGAAAGACAGAGAAAGAGCATGGTCATTATTTTACCAGGTTAGATTAAATCAGCTCTCCACAACTGTTCTAACGTGACCACTGAATCATCAATGAAGTGACTTTAGCTGGAAAAATGACTCTTTATTATTGTCCTCTTGCATTATTGACAAACTATTTTTCTGTTTAACACTGTAAAGCTGCTTTGACACAATCAGTGTTGTATAAAGCGCTATACAAATAAAGGTGACTTGATTTGACTTGACTCTTATCTAAAGCTTAAATTGTTCTTCAGTTTTGGGGACAGCCAAACACATGGCTTTCAAAGTATACTTCATTTGACAATGGAAGTTTTGTTTGTGTCCAGTGTCCAAAAGTTTTGCATTTGCAATAAAACTTACAGTTATACTTGTTCAAGCTAGAGTTGCGAGTTTTTCTGAATCCTGTTATCATAAGGGTTTCTATTGTTGTTGTGTCTCCAGTAGTTTGTAGGGGCTTCATTTATAAAATGTTGCATAGAAACCGTACCTACATTTTATCTGACGATCATTTCTCAAATGTGCATATGTGTAATTCAGAGAACGAACGTACACACAAAAAATGTGCATACACCTCTCTTCCGGATGTGAAATTTATAACTCACAATTGATCTTGAAATTGTGTGCAGCTGAATGGTTTCAGATCTCTACCTAATTAATGTCATTAACATGTAATAGAGCACTGGTCGACGCCAAAATCCTTCTCTTGAGAACGGCGAGCGGCAAGAACTCCTTAAATGTCCAAATACCTGTAGTTCTCGGACACTGGAAAGTGCTTTCGTCTGCCTACACCCTGATGTAATGCTGAGCACTTTTCCACGTCAAAGACGTATACATTTGAACGATGGTGTGGATTTTAGTGTACGCACACTAGATCAAGTCTGTCCACACCCAAATGAGGCCCCAGGTCTCTAAATATGTCTCCCATCCTCATTCAAAATGAGTATGTCTAATATTTACACTCTTTTTTATTGTTTGCCATTTGAAAACCCTGTAAAAGTCTGAAATAGTAATAGCAAGCTCCAGTAAAACTCAACCAGTTTTGGACGTTATTCCAGAACCCAGGTGAATTCTGTTTTCACAGCACTCAGGAAATAACAAATTAGAAGTGTCTCGGAGTACAAACAGACCTGCTCTGCATAAACAGCTGTCTGAAGGAGCTTTGTGAACTTTCACATGGCATCTGCGATATTCCGACCCACCCAGCTCCGTGTGTTTTACCTCACAGAATACCCATACTGTTATTCAGGCTGTGCTGTACTTAGACATGCAATTATTGCTCTCGCTCACTAAAGTTGAGACAAAGAAATGGACTCTAACCTCTTCGGGATGTTTTGAGCCTCGTTTGAGAATCTCATCAGTCGGCCTTGGATTTCGATGCCCACATTGAAGGCGGTTAGGAAGTCAAGCCCACTTGGTTTGCTGTTGTTGTGCAACATGTCGCTTATTGCCAGAAGGGCAGGCAGTACTGCTCCAGAGGGGTGGGTCGCGGGATGCCAAGTGTCGTCAAAGTCCATTGAATGAGCCTGTGGAAAACCAACATGTCAATCAAGGTCTAGAGTGGCAGTTCCGGGATGATGGTTTATGTTTCTACATATTGGCATTCATGTCTCATTGCCATGTCATTGCCTTCTCTAGCATAGCCAAAACACTAGAGGGGAAAAGGAAAATCCTGTGCATGACTTCTGGCAGTATGAGCAAGATCCAATAACACAGCCTGTCTAGTTTCTATTTGAAACACTTCCTGAAGTGTTATTGGTTAAACACACTCAATTTAGAGGGTCCACAGCAGACTTTCCTACAACACAATGGATGTTTTGTACTCCATGAAAGTTCCACATTGCTGAGGTTTCATGACTTGAGATGTTTTTACATTACCACAACTGGCTGCCAAAAATGGTGCTGAATGCTACAAAACGAGTTTAGAAGGTCTTGTCTGGAAGCTAATTTCAGGACTTGTAGAACAGGTCTTTCTGGAGAAACACTGCATATGTGAACTGGATGTTGAATCACACATCCAGTGTAATCTGAGCTAGAAAATTCAGTTACAACTCAATGCACGTGATGATACTTACTGCTACTCCATTGACAAAAGCTGCGAGGGTTGGAGAGAGCTTCATGCCTTGGCGGCCGTAGACGAAGCTGACATCATCAGGAGCGTACATGTGCTTTGGGAAGAGGATAAATGAGTCAGTCACATATCAACATATCAGAAATGTCCAACATTACTGCTTAAACATGCGCTTTGTTTGTACACCACTGCTTCTGGTTACACAGACCAGAAGCATTGTACCCTGCAAAATCACTAAATTCTACTGAAAATGGGATCTCTTAATGATGGAAAAACACAGGCTGTTTTCTCTAAAGTTTACTATTTACTATCGGCACCGTGCCCTACCTGGCAGTGCTGAAGGGCCAGTTCAAACACATCGGTGGTGCTTCCCAAAAGCCCAACGCCGATGCTGTCCAAAACCATGCGTTTGCTGCGCTGCAACACAGTTGGTGACAGATGCCTTGGCTGGACGCTCTGAATGAACCTGCCAAAACTGCTGGTCACTGTTTCCTCAGGGGCAGGACGCTCCGCAACTAAAAACAGACAAGAGAAAAAGTGTAAATTAACACCGAAACACTTGACATTGCTGGATAGCACCCATCCTTCTGAGTGCCAGTGACTATTCCAGATTAGCCAATTAGTCATTCTGTATAAATATTAAATTCCAGACCCTAACAAAACTAAGACTTTCACTTATTTTCTTTTCCATCACAAGTTAACACACAGCAGTTTACTGACAATAAAGCTGTGACAGTAGAGCTTGCTCACCATCTAGTGCAGACTTATGGAGTCCTCGAGCAGCAGAAATAGCAGACACGTATCTGGTGGATCTCTGTGTACAAACATTTATGTTTGAGTGACTCAGCTATACATTTAGTATATGAAGTTAGTATATAGTATATGTTTTGTTGCGTACCAGTTAAAAAAGCTGAAAAGCTTGTCAAATGCCTTTTTATTTAATAACATTTTATTATGTAATACTAGTTTTTCATTCTATGAAATAAAGAAAAAACAATAACACTTACTGTAAATAGTTTGGCTTCAATAAGACACCAGTTTAAAAAAAATTATTAACAAATTAATTAAGAATAATAAAACAAATACTGTGTTTTTCTTTAAACATCAAGCAAACATACATCAATCTATAAACTGCTCAACTATGTCAGAACATGACAGCATAACATTTTCTCTACCTGTAAAGTTGAAAGCATGTTGTCAATTTTTGTTCAGGATATGAAGATGCTTGATATCTTTTGTCAATGAAATGTTGTCTTCTTCTCCCTGTTTCAGCGTAGAGATGAAATTATTGTAGGTGTCTACGTGTCTACGTTTATATAGTACTGGACCACAAAAGACAATGAAACACCCACTAAACCCAAAGAACAATCAGGGCTGGATTTCCCAAAGTATTGCTATTTTTAGATTACTAGGCGGGATTTTTCAGCAGGAAACAAACTTATTTTAAGGGTCAGGGATGTCATCACTGATGAGGACATGGGTTGGTTGACATCACTGTAACTCCTCCTAGCTCCAATGAGTTTATTTCTATAAACTTAATGCATTCTTCACAAGCATCTCAACACTTCATTACAGATAAAGGATCTTCACTAGGTAAGTTTATTATTTCTGTAATTATTTTCCATATTATAAAAACCTAAGCAACATAAATATAGAGGATGCTGATGTGCCACAGTCAAGTGTGTCCGCGTGTCTACGTTTATATAGTACTGGACCACAAAAGACAATGAAACACCCACTAAACCCAAAGAACAATCAGGGCTGGATTTCCCAAAGTATTGCTATTTTTAGATTACTAGGCGGGATTTTTCAGCAGGAAACAAACTTATTTTAAGGGTCAGTGATGTCATCACTGATGAGGACATGGGTTGGTTGACATCACTGTAACTCCTCCTAGCTCCAATGAGTTTATTTCTATAAACTTAATGCATTCTTCACAAGCATCTCAACACTTCATTACAGATAAAGGATCTTCACTAGGTAAGTTTATTATTTCTGTAATTATTTTCCATATTATAAAAACCTAAGCAACATAAATATACAAAACAACACTAACATTTTACTGCCTATTTAGTTTTGAGTTATGAAAAAAAACAAAAAAAAAACAATATATATATATATATATATATATATTGCCAAGTTGACATAAAAGTCTGCTCAAACTTACTGTTAGTTTATCCAGACAGCTGTCTGTCTATGTTGACTCCTGTCTGCTGGAGGTTTGAGAGGAAACAGATTAAATCTCTGCAGTTGTCAACTAAGCACCACCTAGACTGTAATGTAATATTATCATTGTTCAGCTGAGAGTCTTCAGACATCTGTGTTAGAAAGGCAGTTTGAGTTTTAATGCCTAAAGGCTAAAACGTATCCATTCTGTGAAGAGCGTTTGGCTGCTGCTCAGCTGTTTGCTGAACCAGACACCAGTGCTGCTTACCGACGGAGGGGAGGGAGAATGTGAAACTAAACACACCCATGAATAGGCTGTTTAGTGCACACTCAAGATATGAGAAGTTTTTTGGCACATAGAATTACGAATCGACTGGTTCATTTTATGAAGGTTTTTAATGGTCCTTTATAATACATTTAATTTGTTTGTAGATATGTTTGTAGAAGTATGCACATAACCACCACTAAAAGTGCAGAATATTTTAGCATGCTGATTATCTGGCTGATATCCATCAGTTATGTTACTTTTATTAACCTAGTTATATCAACTAATTTAGGCTGATCAAATCTGGTAAATTTATTATTTTTTTGATTATGAGATGATTTGACTGATAAAAGTATTGTATAACCTTTACTGTCTATCATTATGTGCTATTTACACAACTTAATCTTATCAGCAGAAAGCTACGTTTAAAGGGAAGTTCATGGCATCAGCAAGTGGCTTTCCGGCAAGTTTTTATGGAGAGCCGGGTGTGCTTGGGCTCCTGGCCAATGGCATCAGTGCTTTTCTTGTCCTACTGCAGAACTTCCATGGGGCCAGGACTGGTGTTCCTGCAGAGGGAGTGGAAAACATACTAGCAGGTCTTAGCAGATCATTGTGTTGTCATTTTAATTTAACAAACAAACTTGCAAGAATTATACCTTTATATGCTAATATCAGAAAACAATTGAAACCTATCTGCATTGTGCATTTATGCTAGTTCTGTACATCTACATCATGCATCCTTTTCTTTGCATCTTGTGTTAATTTATACAGGTGTTCATCTCATTCTAATTGGTGGAGTGTGTCAGCTAGTGGCAGGCTTGCTGTCTTTCCGAAAATATGACCATCTGAGTGGGACATCCTTTGTAGGATACGCAGCACTGTGGGGCAGTTATGGGGCCACACGAATTTTCCTAGGTGCCAACCAACAAAGTCCAAACCTGTTCAATGAATCAACATTGATAAATAGCACCATTCAAGATCTGTTCGCAGCCACTAGTATTAACAAAACCGACATTCCAATGTTCATCAAAGAGTCTGCCATAGCTGGGCTGGTGCCTTACATTTTGCTTTCCTTTCTGCTGGCCTTCTGTTCAGCAACCGTAAACTACATCATGCCCTTTGTGTTTGGGGCCATCACCCTCACACTGATATTTGAGGCCGTGGGTCTGGTGGCAGGGTGGGCTCTGGTGGTTTCTGGGGTTCTGGAGCTCCTAATCCTGCTCTTTGCCATATATGGCTCATCAGCACTGCTAATCAAGGGACTGGCCCAGCGCTACGTGCTAAAGGGTTTTGGAAACCCTCTCTTCAATGTACTGCTACTAGGAACCACCAACGCAAGTAGCTCCCAAAGCTTGGGCCAAGAGAAGAAGAAGAACACAAAATTTGCTGAACCTATGGCCTTGGGGTTCTTCTGTGACACAGTCTCGCCATTTATCTTCGCCTTCTATGCCTTTAACTACTTCCCGTCGGTCACAGTAGCTGCCATCTGGATAACCATAAATTCTGCTGCTCAGCTTCTATCTAGCTATTACGCATACCTGCGTCAAGACTGCTACCATGCAACCAAGTTTGGCCTGCACTGTGTGTTTTGGTTGGTGAAGACCTGGGAAGAGCATGTGGTGTCAGTAACCATCGGCCGGACCGAAGCTGGCGAAGTAAGGCACGCCATGGTTGGCAACTGGTTCTTCGTGTCTGCCGCCTTGGTTTTCTGCATCGCAAGTCTAAACAAAGACACTCTTGAGCTAGTTCACAACTCATTTTTTGTCCTGGTGACCATATCAACCATCTCCCAGATTCCCATTGAGAGGTACTACATCTTTTTTGGAGTGACCTGCTCCCTCTTCACTCTCCTGTCCTACTATGGCACCTTTGCACGCCTCATCAACACCATTGCTGAGAAGTCCTTGATCCCAGTTGGACCCCAGCCTGTCTCCACCGAATCCCTGCAGAAATATCTCAGTTACCTCAAGAGATCCAAAATGGATGAGTCTGAGGATAAATGTGCACAGCTCCCTGATGCTTTATTCTATCTTTCCAATGGAGTGGCTGCACTCTCAGCCATCCATAGCATTCAACCCGGCCTGGCCTTTTTCGACCTAACTGTGCCCTGGGTACTCATCCCAGGAGCAATCATCCAGGCCTACGTCAGTCGACTACAGGTACAAGGTGGTCAGAGATTTGGCTCTGTCATTCCCTCCTTTTATGTGGCTATTTGGGCAACCTGGAGCTGGTTTAGGTTTGCAGGTATGAAAATGAACTAATTCATAGATAGAATAAAAAAATACTTAGCTACAATTTTGGGTAGAAATCTATGATCTATTTGTCCTGCAGGGCATCGTTTGCAAATATCCACAGGGTCAGCTAATGGATTTGCAGCTGGGGCAATAGCATTCCTGGTCATTAATGCTTTCTTGATTCTAGTTGGTAGGTTTGTTTACAAATACATATCATAGACTCTCACAACTGACTCCTGCATTTTAAAGCATTGCGAATTGGACTGTTTCTTTACAGCGGCCTACAGCAATCTTGTTCTTTTGGCACTAACCACTGTCATGGAGGTCATCATAGTTTGTTTTCTCCTCTCTACTCTTGGACGACTGCCCTATCAGCTAGAAGGTACTGTACAAAAATAAATTTGGTAAGAAATCGTATTGTGAAGATGAAGATGAAACTACATGAATAATGTGTAAAAGTTACCTCACACTTTCTTGAAACTCTTTCTTTAGTTGCCATGCTAGCAATTTTCGCCATCATATGTTTGTATGGCATGCTAGCATCCCTTGTGAACAGTATCTTCTCCGAGACCCTGATTCCAGTTGGACCTTCCCTTATCAAGGTATTAGTTCAATTATGACAAAATGCTTATGAAGTTTATGTTATTCATTCAAGTTTATGTTATTCATTCAAAAACTTCCTTGATTAATTGATCTGCGTTATCCAAGGACAAGAAAAAGAAGGAATCTGAGACCACATATCCATGTTTCATCGCTAATTCTCGGGAAACCAGCGGACTCCTTAAGATTGCCAAATCATTGGAAAACAATGGAGTGTGTGGCATCCCTACAGATACTGTCTATGCCTTGGCTGCTTCATGCAAGAACCCCAGTGCAATCGAGAAGATCTACTCTATCAAAGTACATGCCTGCAGAAAAGCAACACAATATTCTCTTACAAATCATCAAACACCTGTGCTCTTGTCAACTGACCCACAAACTTTTCTCTCTGGTAGGACCGTCCTGCAGAGAAGCCAATTTGCATCTGTATCTCAAGTGTGGAGCAGCTTGTGGCCGCCAAACCTCCTTTCAGCCCTCTGCTCTGGGAGTTCATGAGAAATGTCTACCCCGGAGGCATTAGTTGCATTGTCCTGAAGGGCGAATGGCTCCTCAAACTCGGTAAGGTTATTAACAGATACAACATTTTGTATTTGCGCCTAACTCTATTATCAAAAATGGGACATCACCAAACCAAAAGAAAACTTTACTGAGCAAAATCTGTGATTCTCAATCATTTCCAGTCATTTTCACTGCTTATATTGTTCGCAGGTGTGGGTCCTGCATATGACCGTGTGGGTACCAGAGATAGCATTATGATTAGAGTACCTGACCACACCGCTACTGCTCACCTGTGTGAATTCACTGGCCCATTGGCCATTACATCAGCCAATCCCAGTGGAGAAGCTGACAGTACCCACCATGATATGGTCATCAAGTAAGTTTATAAAGGCCCTAACAAGCACTTGATGCTAAGTACTGCAAGTGAATACGAACTCTGCCAAACAAATGCACTGTATCTGAAATTATTTATTGAGGGGTTTATAGGTTGAGATTTTACATAATCCAGGGTGTTCTGTTA